AAAAAAAAAAAAAAAAAAAAAAAAAAAAAAAAAAAGCCAACTATTGCAGCAAGCACACAAAAGAGTAATTAGACATCATTGAAGGAAGGCTAAAGTTTAGCAAATACTGAGTAGCATTACTTGCTTTCTGTCAGGAGCCAATTATTTTGCCAAGCATTAGGCTTTTCTTCTGTAGACTGTGGGTTAGTAATTTGGAGGAATAAAGTAAGGCAAGAGGATTGAGTTTACAATACATTGTGTTGCTCTTTTATTTCTCCCCTGAATGTGTTAGGTGATACAATACATTTTGAGCCTACATAGCTACGACTTTATTAAAAATGCATTTCCCCCCAATTCTTTCAGGAATATCATTTTCCTTACTTGTATGCAACAAGGTATGTCCAGTGTATAGTGTTTCCTTAGCATTTTATTTTCTGAGTTCTTTGAGGAACTTATGCATCCTTAATGCCTCTTTCTTTCCCTTAAACTTTATAGTTTGTTTTGCTTGACAGTCAGTGTTACATGGCTGGGAAGCAGAAAAATAGTCTTGCCTAAGTTAGATAAGATGTTTACAAATAAAATGATACTGTGAGCTGCAATTAAATGATGCCCACGGGTCAAAGTAATTTCCCTCTTCATAATAGCCACCTTACTCAAAATGAGAATTCTCAAGTATGAACTGTGCTGTAGAAAATGTATCTACTTACACAAGGTTTTTTTTTCCAGATTTAATTATTAAAATTGGAATTACCATGGCTCACTAATATTACATTTGGAGTAATTTCATTATGTTTATGTATCTGTCTTCATCTTTTCCTGGTCTTTTCTTTGCATCTCATCTCAAATCTTATTAGTGACAAATCCAAGAAAAAAGGAGGGTTTCTTGCCATACATATTTTACTCCATTGCTTGCATTTGGTGGGGGGGAATTTTTGAGACAGGATCTCACTGTAAAGTTGAGACTGATCTGGAACTCACTATGTAGCCCCGGCTGGTTTCAAACTCACAGCCATCCTCCTTCCTCAGCCTCCTGAGTGCTGGGATTACAGGTGTGTGCCACCACGCCTGGCTGGTACTATCGCTTGCACTGTATCTTGGTGACAGCTTTGCTTTAATTGGTAACTTGCATTTTGAGAAGCAAGCCTAAAATTTTAAAAATCTCATCCTAAAAATGCAAGAAAGAGAAAAAGAAGGAGTATGGGAGAGAATTAAGATAACGTGTCTACCCCTGTCTTTTGTAGATGGGAAGGTTGAAGTGACCAAAGAAGGCGTGAAGCTGTGCACCATGGGTCCCGGGAAAGTGTTTGGAGAGCTGGCCATCTTGTACAACTGCACCCGGACGGCGACCGTCAAGAGTAAGACTACTTTTGCAGTTTCCAAATGTTCTCAGTGTCTTCTTTCTCTAAACCTATGAGGTGTTGATTTAAGTAATTACTGATTTACTCTTTGCAACTTTATGAATTCACATTCTGATTTTTACCTTGTAGTATAGTTGCAGTATTTATTTTCCTCCTAAAGAGACATTGCTAACAATCGGTTCTGCAATAATTTACATTTTATTTATAAAATTTATAAAAGTTATAACTTTGACCAAGAATTCTCATAATTAAGATTTTTAAGTGGCATATTTTCTAAGTTAGAAGCAACCAGGAGTAAGACCTTTGCTTTTTCAGCCTTTAAATTCTCAGCATCATGTTTAAGAAATTTTTACATGTCTATCTTAGATTATGGTCCCCACATAAATCACACTTGTTGATTCAGTGGTTTAGAAAAAGTAAGAGGAAAAAATATTCTTCTTCTCATTCAACTATCACGAGTAAGATACATCCTGAATCCTAAAATGGCATCTGAATGTATTTTTGTCTTCAGCTGCTCATCAAGCTGTATATTATAGCATTTTTCTTTTCTACTGATTGGGCTTATTTTAAATCGGGCAATAAAGCGGCTTGTTTTCCTAATTTTACATGTATGTGTATGTATGATTTCTGTTGCAACTTTTGTTGTTTTGTAAAAGCAGCTGCAATAGTTAGAAAAAATTGTTTAAAAAATTCTTCCTGAATAAGGACATAATGACTATACAACAAACAGAACTGAATGCAAAAGCCAACCATGCAATATTCATTGGATATATAGGCAGACTTGTATGCTTCATGTTTGAAAAGTCTTTCTTACGCATTATCTTACGGATGATTTCTCATGACATGCTTTGATTAGATTTTGCTGTTTAAAAAACTGCTAGTGGCAAAAATCACAAATTATTAGTATCAATTAGTTTTGTCTGGATGCTACTGATCATTTTTTTCTCCCAAAAGTACAGAGTATGACTAGAACTGTGACACTGAAAATGGGTGGTAAAGAACTCAAGAATGTATGACCATCCAAAAGTTTCAGAAATGATCTTGTATGTCTTGTTATTGAGTCACCTTTATATCCTTGAATTACTGTGACATCAGTTGGATGTTGTACGTTGTACTGGTACTCTTTTTGAAGAAGTCCTTATTGGCATCTGATTCATAATCTCAGGAAGGAAAGGATTTTTGTATTTTTTGGTAGGTAGTGTCATTTTCTTATCTCATGTGATCACGTAGTTATGAGTCAAGGAGTAATGAGGTCCAGTGAAACTTAACATAATCTGCCACAATTTTAACATATTGTAAGCTGCCTTACATGGACTAAAGAATGACTTCATTAAGTGCAATAAATTTTACTATTGTGCTTCATTTTCAAGGAAATACATTTATTTTATAGCCAAGAAGGCAGAGAATTCTGATTAAAGCAGGCTTTCTTAGAATTGTGAATAATGAGTTATTGTTTTAAAATATTTCAGCCCTGTGTACTGTTCATGTAATCTAATGGAAACTTATTAATTTTCCAAAAATCAAAAGGTAGTATTACTATGCTTTATACTTTTAAGTAGAGTGAATTCTTATTAAAGCAATATTTTAATAGTCTACTTAAGTGAATTTTATACAACTTTTTTCAGAAGTTGATTGCTTTGCTTTGTAAAGATCACTTTTTAGGTTATATAAAATGGTGTTCATTTTCACTATCCTTTATGTATTCATGTTTGCCTAATTGAAGTGGACACTATGCATCTGATTTACTAAGAATCTGAGTGTCGAATGCAAATTATAATCCTGTTTCAGTATCCGAACATCATAACAGGAAATGAGTGATGGTGGGTATTTTTAATGCAGACTAAGATACTGAAGAGTATACCTGTGTGAATGCCGTGTAGTTTTCTTCACAATGCTTGTTTACTATCTGGAGGTTGGATAGAGAAAAGACTGTAGAGTATATGGTGTGTAAGTATATCTCTGCATTTACAGGTGAAAGGCTGTTGAGCATGAGTAAGAACGGATATATGAGAATTGTTTCTTCTGAATGTTGTGTAAGAATAATAAGTAGTGAATAATGATTATTGTTCAGAATAGTTTTGCCCTGTCTTTTCAACTATCCAGGGAAACAGGACTTGTGACTATGGGTCTTAAATACCATTTTTCTGTAGGTTTAAATTAAAACTTCACCTTGAACACCGTAACTCTGTTTTGTTTGGTTTTGGTTTGGTTTTGGTTTTTTGAGACAGTGTCTCATTATGTAGTTGAGACTGACCTGGAACTCACTATGTAGCCCAGGCTGGTCTTGAACTCACAGCAATCCTCCTGCCTCAGCCTCCCAAGTGCTGGGATTGCAGGCGTGTGCCACCATGCCCGGTTTGAACACTATAATTCTGATTAGATTCTATTGTAGGTGCTACTTGTGCATAATGACTGCAGAATATAACCCTCTAATGATAGTTTACTTTTTTGATGTGATATTTTAAAAACATCTTTAAACTTTTAGGACTGTATAGATCCAATACAGTAGTCAAGTTACATTAACCTGTTAATTTCTTCCCTGGCATCTTGCCAATGAGGGCCATTTGCCATAACTCTCAAAATAGATCCATTTGGTTGGGTATAATAGTCTGAATCTTGGTAAAATATCCTTCCAAATTATGTTTTTTTTTATTCATGTATTTTTCTTTCTGTTTGCCAAGACCTATGTCCTTTACTCCAAGCATTAAAAAAAATTTTTTAGTCCACCTTTGTAGTACAAAATAATTGTATTCCTCATGGAAAGTTGGCACCTGTATATAACATCTTAATTCTTTTTTTAAAAAAAATTATCTCTACCTCCCTTCATCTCTTGGTCCCCATCCCTATTCAAAACACACACACACACACTCTCTCTCATTGTCTTTTATTTTTCTCTTAATTTGTATTTTGGGCTTTTCAGAGAAACTGTGTGATATTTAAACTGTATGTCTGCTTTATTTCACTTAACATTATGGTCTTACGGTGTTTCTATTTTCTTACCAATGACTCGAGTTTATCCTTTATGGTAATGCAGCAGTACTCATTTTTTTTTTCATTATTGTAAACATTAGTGGTTCTTTCTCCTTCCTTCCTAGGTTTGACTGAAGGCTGTTTAGCATTTTAAAGTGTTTGTAATCTCACAGTGGTAACTAGATCCTGGGTGCCAGGCTGGCAGTCTTCAATGTACACGAGTTATTTCTTAAGAGAACACTTTTTGAAATTGTATCAGGCCATGAATAAATTTCAGTAACTTTCCTAATGATAAATATGATCACAACAAATGTGGTTTTTCCACGTTAGGATATAAAAATAAGAGTCTTAAATTTCTAGAGATCAATATATGCTATAAAATATGATAAACTTTTTCATAATGATCCTGCGGAAAGAACCAACATAGTAGTTCGAAGCACGTTCTTTTTAAAAAAATTGTGGAAAAAAATCAATTGTCATTCTTCTGAAAATAAATAAATGTATGCTGCTAGTTTTTATAGCACTAAGAGGAAGACCTGGTAACTCTAGGAAGAGTAATTTTGAAAAATCAAAGCCATAGTGATATGGAATGAAAACAAAATCATGGTATAATATAGATAATCTATTCATTGCCAACTCTTGTGTTAACAAAGCAACACCACCGATTTTCCCCTGAGGAATGAAGATGTGAAAATACATGACATTAACATTGTATTGGAAACAAAAACTAACAACTGTGTTGAGATCATTTTTATGGCTTCAACAACCTCAAGTTTTTTTATTAACTGTTATACTAAAATTGTCACTTTGATTGTATTGGATCAATCATAAATATGTGTAGAATGCCATGGGAAATAAAACCATCAGGTGTTATTCTTGGTTTCCACAATGCCAAATAATTAATGTTTCCTATTTATTTGAATTTCAGATATGTTGGCCTTCTAGAGTGTGAGTTTTACTATTGGTTTTTAAATGTTAGGAGCAGAAACTTTCACATGTTTATTCAACCCCTTCTGAGTACTCAGTTCCCATACCCAGAAGCAGTTATTGTCCCATTTCCCTAAAATGTCCTCGCTGGTTGTGGTTTCACTATGCTCGTAAATCATTATCAATTTGTATTTAGCCTGGGCCTTTTACCTTGCGTTTGTGCTCAGGGTTCTTCCAAACAGTTGCAGTTATTGGAAATTTAAAAATAGAGAGTCAAGGCATTTAGTTTCTAGTAAGAGAAGGATTCACCCTTTTCATGAATTTGCAGAACATTTATGCTTTTGTTTTGTTTTTCTTGGATTTGCTATGAACAGTTCTCAAATTTACATGTGGCACTTTATGTGGCTTAATATGTGACTCTTTGCCCCATCTTGGTTTATAAATGAATTGCGGAATTTTTGTTGCAGGTACTAAATTAAAGTCTTGCTAACCTTAGGAAGGAATTACACTTATTGCCTTCCATTGACTGAGGGGGATGACTTTTGCCCAAGAAGCACTGCCAACCTATGACTGTCGACTGGGCTGATTCACTGGCTTGAACCGTCTGGAAGTAGTTTCATATAAATCATAAATCAATTTGATTATAATATTTGATTGAATTTCCAGCTCACCATGTCCCAAACCTTTGTAATGTATTATTCAAGTGGTCACATTTAACTTCATTCAAATTAAAAACTCAAGACTAAAAAAAAGGTACTTTGTAGAAAAACATCTTGATGCTAGGTCATGATGATCACTGTAGAAAGCTCTCAGAAGTACACCCACTTTTTGTGTGATAGATATTTTGTGAAGTTCTCTGGGCACTATATCAATTATTATTTCACCTTAGATTATTTATAACAAGAATTTAAAACTTGCTCAATATTAAAATACGTCAGTACTGACACAACAAAGCCTAAACAGACTATTAAAAAAATCGGGCAAATTGATGACTTTTATAACATCTGGTAAAAATATTTTTCCTGCCTCAGTTGGAATCTTTCCAAGTTTTATACTTAAGCTTCTTAGGAAGTTCGTAGAAGTGAAGTAGAAAAATTAGT